TCCTGCTGCAGCTTAAAACGGTCACGACTCGATATTGGTTTCTGTAAATGAGTTCTGCTGTTCTCTTGCACGGTTGAAGTGTGTCCAGAAGTAGAAACTAGAGCAGGTTTATCATCTGGACTGCTTTCCTGACTTTCTTCAATAGTCTTTTCCAAAAGTTTTGCTTTCCTTAGTTCCTCTTTGGCTTCCATCAACTTTCCTTCTCTCTTCAGAACTAGAGCATTTCTCTTATGAGAAAGGATCTCCTCTTTGTAACCATTGATCCCATCAGTTTTGCTCGTTTTACTATTGGTGTTTTCAACTTTATAAGAAACATTCTCACTATTACTGCTATTTTGTTTGCTGCTGACTCCAACATTTTGATCCAGTTCCGGAAAAACAGGAACAGCTGTCCTTGCCACTTCAATTCTAGAACTATAAGTTTCTGGTGATTGTATTTTAGATCCCAGCACAGAATGTGTTTCAGAAGGTTTTGTGGTGTCAGCTATAATACGTGCTTCCTACTGAACCAGAGATCCTGAACTTTGTGTTTCCAAGTCTGCCAAACGCTTTTCCAGATCCTTCGCCTTCTCCAACTCTTCTGCAGCTTCCTCAGTCTTCCCTTGGCGTCTCAAGGAAAGGGCCTTCCTTTTTATAGCTAATAATTCCCTCTGAATTTCTCCCTTGTTTCTCATCGACATCCAAGGCATGGTAGTGGGCACACTTTCATTCACAGAATGGCTGTTGGATGGTTTGGAGGTGAAATTTTTTCCGCTCAGCGAAACAGATTCATCATCAATCCACCCTAAATTCTTCAAAGCTGATAACATTGTAGGATCGTGCATATCTTGGTCAGTTACAACTGGTTCTGCACTATCCACTCCAAGATCAAGGGTCCCAATATCACTATCTTGGGCATGGGCCACGTGTTTCATGTCTAGTGCCATTACAGGTTTCTTTAAAGTATTCTCAAACTCTTCCAACTGCTGCTCAAGAAGCTTTCCTTTTTTCAGTTCCTCATCTGCCTCATCTACCCGTCCTTCCCTTCTCAAAGTAAGTGCTTTCTTTTTCAAGACTAGTAACTCCTTCTGAATCACCATCTTACTTTTAGGTACATGGATTTGATTATCAAGAGTCTTCTGTGAAAATCCCGGTTCAGGCATTTGCGAGTCGGAAAGGTCCTGCTCAAGAAGCTTTGCCTTCTTAAGAAGAGCCATTGCTTCAGGAACATTTCCAGCCCGTTTCTGGCTAAGAGCCTCCTTCTTCAAATTAAGGATTTTGGCTTGAACCGCTTCTTGATTGAAAGGAACAGATTCTGATTCATTCTTTTGTTCATGATTATCATCTTCTTCAGACCAACCAAATGATTTCAAGGCATCACCAATCTCTGGATCATTCATATCATCCTCTGTCACCTCTAAATTGCCATCAATTGGGAGATCATCTGTGGCACTAAGAAAGTGTTCAAAGTTTGCACCAACATCAAAATCATTCTCTAGATCATCTTGATTT